TCTGGGCATTCTGGGGCCTCTGTGGCAGGCTCTGGGCATTCCGGGGCTTCTGTGGCAGGCTCAGAATGTTCCGGGCTCTCCGTGGCAGGCTCTGGGCATTCCGGGGCCTCTGTGGCAGGCTCAGAATGTTCCGGGGCCTCCATGGCAGGCTCTGGGCATTCTGGGGCCTCCGTGGCAGGCTCTGGGCATTCCAGGGCTTCTGTGGCAGGCTCAGAATGTTCCGGGGCCTCTGTGGCAGGCTCTGGGTGTTCCGGGGCCTCCGTGGCAGGCTCTGGGTGTTCTGGGGCCTCCATGGCAGGCTCATAATGTTCCGGGGCCTCCATGGCAGGCTCTGGGCATTCTGGGGCCTCCGTGGCAGGCTCAGAATGTTCCGGGGCCTCCGTGGCAGGCTCTGGGCATTCTGGGGCCTCCGTGGCAGGCTCTGGGTATTCCAGGGCCCCCGTGGCAGGCTCAGAATGTTCCAGGGCCTCTGTGGCAGACTCAGGGCATTCTGGAGCCTCTGTGGCAGACTCAGGGTATTCCAGGACCTCTGTGGCAGACTCCAGGCATTCTACAGCCTCCGTGGCAGGTTCTGGGTGTTCTGGGGCTTCCGTGACAGGCTTGGGGCAATTTGTGGCCTCTGCGTCAGGCCCAGGGCGTTCCACAGCCTCTGTGGCAGGCTTGGGGGAATCTAGGGCCTCCATGTCAGGCTTGGAGGCGCCTGCAGTTCCCCATGAGGCCCAGGGTGTCCCAGCATCTGCAGCTGGCTCCAGGCCATCCAGCTGGGCCTGGTCCCAGGCTGGAGGCTCCGGGCCTCCAATGCAGCTTGTGTCCCTCGCCTCAGGGGCTGGCCCCAGTTCCAAGGTCACTCGTCCTTCGTGCTGGGCTGCAGTGACCACAGGCTCGATCCCTGGCAGGCAGCCTGCATCCTTCTGCAGGGTCTCAAGCCTGGCCCCAGCGGGGGTCACCTGGCCTGAGGGGAGGCCTGCGTCCTGCAGGGGCAGGGGTGTGGCCATAGAGTCAGGGTCCTGGCCTGCTTCTTTCTCCAGCTTCTGCAGAGAATCTGGGCTTGGCGTGAGGGCTCCCTCTTCCGGGGCGGTCCAAGGCCCCGGGCCCAAGGCCGCGCTGTCATCCTCCTGGAAGGGCTGAGCTCTGCCCGCGGCAGCAGGTGCTGGACCCGACAGGGAGCCTGCCTCCTCCCCCCAGGCCTGAGGGCTCCCCCCGGGGAGGCCTGGGGCTTCCCGCGGGGTGTGAGGGGCTGAGGCGGCGGCGGCGGCAGAGGAGGCCTGGCCCGCCCCGGGGACCTGGGCGCCGGGCTCCTGGCGCTCGGTGGCTCGGCCAGCCCCCTGCTCGGCGGCGGCGGGAGCGGGCTCGCCAGGA